GTAGTTCAGCAAAGTCCACAGGAATCAGAATGTGCCTAAAAACTGAGTAGGCTACCCCTGAACCCATGACCATGTACCAACCTAAAACCAACAATTAGACGCCCAGAGTGAGCAAGTCGTAAGGTATAATCACTTTTTCTGATATTACCTTGTATAAACGATCAAAGTTGAAAAGAGTTGTCTCCCTCATTATAAAATCGTCAGCTTCGCCGTTAGCCGTGGTATCTCTTGCTGCAGATTTCTGGTCATTTAAGATTAGTCACAATGTTGGCATTCGACCGGACTTTTTGACAACTCTAGATGTCATTGCAGCCAATGTTTGATAACAGAAATCCGATGTGGACGGTCATTATCTGATATTCAGTGAGCTCTTTAGCTCATCGGCTGACCGGACGGCGTTATAGGGGAAAAATTAGGACAAATGTATCATTTCTTGATTGAGTTTGAATATTTGTAAAATGCTACGTGCAAATATCAGTACAATGACATGCCTACTTATGTTTCATATCGTCTTTATAAAAATGCAGATATATGCAAATATAAGTGCGCTAACTGAATTGAAATGATTGGTGCGAAGTTAGTCACGTGTCAGGAGTTCTCAGTGACCTTGACTACGTTTTTCTTTTTTCACAATTGGGCTGAACGATAGTTGAATATTATGATCACATGTCTGCCATGTTAGTATAATAAATCCCCGGGTTACTACAGTCCCGACTTACGACGATTTATGGTTACGCCGAAATCTCCATTAGTTTTGTTTCGACTTGTGCTGTTTGGTTCGTACATAAGGCGCAGGTCAATCGGTGATTGTACGTTATATTGGATTGTTGTGCATTCACTCTCTTTCGTTTGTGCTGTGTTGTGGAAACTCCCAAGCGCAGTGCAACCTCTTCACATAGAGATGATTCGGAGAACAGGAAAGCCATTACTATGGAAGTGGAATTAAACATTGTTAAATGCTCTGAAAAGGGAGAAACAGCGACAACCATTGACTGGTTGTCTTAATTCTTTCCACTGTCGTTCAAAACATGTACATATGTGTACATACTGAGTTTGCATGTAAGAGATAAGGACATGCTCTTGTTAAACTATAAGTGAATAAATTCCCGATTAAAAAATGAAAAGAACACACAAGTTTGATTTTCTTTCTTCCCCTGATTTGCTGCTGCTTCCGAATATTGCAAAAGATCTTATGTTTCAGCATCTCATCTACCAAGAGCCAATGACATCGCTTGGAGCTTAAAACATTTTCACTTCATTATATATATTATTTTCATTTCCTTTCATTATATGTATTATATTTATGTCTTCTGTGTGTGTTTTAGTCTTAATTATGTTAACATATGTCATAGAAATGTGTTGCTAGGTCCTAGATTATTACTTTACTATTGCGTAATGGTGTAAATGCTTATTTACGGAAAATCGCGAGTACGTTCCGAATTACACAGAAAATTGCGTTACGACGTAGGAACAAAACTTTGTCGTAAGTCGAGGCCCTCTGCATTTATAAACCATGGTTTATTTTGATTCAAACTCTCATTGTTCGTATTGTCGAAAAATGTAATTTATTTATTTATCTATCCATCCATATATGATTTAATTTATGATTGATAATATTTAATAGGATTTAATGATTTACGTTATTTAATATGATTTATTTAAATAATTCTCTTTTTTATTTATTGAAAATTTTTAATTTAATTTTTTATTTATTTATTTTTAAATTATGATTTATAAATTTTGATGAAAATAAATTTCGATAAAAATAAATTGTGATAAAATTTTTGATTATTTAATTTTGATAAAATTTTTTATTTAAATTTTTTATTTTGTTTTTAAATTTTTTATTTTTTTTAAATTTTTTAAAGATTTTGATAAAAATTTTAATAAAAATAAATACTGATTAAAATAAATGATGATAAAAAAAATTTGATAAAAAATAAATTTTGCTAAAAGTAAATTTTGACAAAAATAAATTTTGATTCATTTTTTCTGAATTTATTTTTTTATATTTAATGTTTTATCATGATTCATCTATTTATCCATACATATATGTGCATACGTACGCTTGTGTGGTCGTTTTCGTCTCTTTGTGTCCGTTTGGTTGATTTAGAACCTTTTTCTAAGATTTATTGAAATTATATACACTTCAGATTCTCATCTTTGTATGAATACAGTTTTCTGTGCGATCAAATAAATTTCCGTCTGTGCTAAACTTTTTGAACTTAGTAAAAAATAATTTTCCATTTACTGCATATACGGTGATATCAATATTCTTAAGTAAAGTTGCAACTACGTCGTCAAAAAATAAACTAACACACCAGAATAGATTCTCTTTGTCCGTTCTATATTTAAAAAAATGGAGAAGCTTTTAGAATTTGAAGCAAAAGTAATTTTTAAAAAGTCTCATCTTTGTGTCCCCTTTTGTGTCCCCTTTTGTGTATATATGTATTGCGTGGGTGTAAATTATAGCCTAGAAAATAGCTTTGTCGATTATAAGAAACACGTAATAGTATTAGCTGCCTGAAAGTTAGGCCTATTTACTGAGAACGAATTGAAGTGAATTGATTGATGAGTACCGAGAGGAGCAAACAAATTGAGGAAATTAAAACCGGCATCAAATAAAAAGAAATAATAAAAAAGGGGATTGGAAAGAAAATAACCAATCAAGAGTTCGTGATGAAATGACAAATGAAGAAGAAAAGAAAGAGAAATAAAGAAATGCAGGATGAAACGAAAATTTTGCGGGAAAGGCACATAAAAGAAAGGAACATAATGGGAAAAGGAAAAGAAAAGGAACATGAGAGAAAAGGAAAGTCGGGGATCTCTGCATAAGGGAAAAGGAAAGGAACATAAAGAAAGATGACATAACAGAAAAGGTAAAGGGCATAAGAAAAGGGACATAAGGGAAAGGGACATAAGGGAAAGGGCCATAAGGGAAAAGGAAAGGGACATAACGCAGAAGAAAAGTGACAAGGGAAAGGGACATAAGGGAAAAGGATAGGGACATAATGGAGAAGAAAAGGGACATAATGGAAAGGGACATAAGGGAAAAGGATAGGGACATAATGGAGAAGAAAAGGGACATAAGGGAAAGGGACATAAGGGAAAAGGAAAGGGACATAATGAAGAAGAAAAGGGAGATAAGGGAAACGGACATAAGGGAAAAGGAAAGTGACATAATGGAGAAGAAAAAGGACATAAAGGAAAGGGACAAAAGGGAAAAGGAAAGGGACATAACGCAGAAGAAAAGTGACAAGGGAAAGGGACATAAGGGAAATGGATAGGGACATAATGGAGAAGAAAAGGGACATAATGGAAAGGGACATAAGGGAAAAGGAAAGGGACATAATGGAGAAGAAATAGGAAGTAAGGGAAAGGGACATAAGGGAAAAGGAAAGGGACATAATGGAGAAGAAAAGGGACAGAATGGAAAGGGACATAAGGGAAAAGGATAGGGACATAATGGAGAAGAAAAAGGAGATAAAGGAAAGGGACAAAAGGGAAAAGGAAAGTGACATAATGGAGAATAAAGGGACATAAAGGAAAGGGACATAAAGGAAAAGGATAGGGACATAATGGAAAAGAAAAGGGACATGAGAGAAAGGGACATAAGGGAAAAGGAAAGTGACATAATGGAGAAGAAAAGGGACACAAGGGAAAACAACATAAGGGAAAAGGAAAGTGACATAATGGAGAAGAAAAGGAACATAAGTGAAAGGGACATAAGGGAAAAGGAAACGGACATAATGGAGAAGAGAAGGGACATATGGGAAAGGGACATAAGGGAAAAGGATAGGGACATAATAGAGAAGAAATAGGAAATAAGGGAAAGGGACATAAGGGAAATGGAAAGGGACACAATAGAGAAGAAAAGGGACATAAGGAAAAAGGAAAGGGATATTAATGGAGAAGAAAAGGGACATAAGGGAAAGGGACATAAAGGAAAAGGAAAAGGACATAATGGAGAAGAAAAGGGAAATAAGGGAAAGGGACATATGGCAAAATGAAAGAGACATAACGGAGAAGAAAAGGGACATAAGGGAAAGGGGCATAAGAGAAAAGGAAGGGGATATAATGGAGAAGAAAAGGGACATAAGGGAAAGGGACATAAGGGAAAGGGACATAAGGGAAAAGGATAGGGACATAACGCAGAAGAAAAGTGACATAAGGGAAAGGGACATCAGGGAAAAAGGAAAGGGATATTACTGGAGAAGAAAAGGCACATAAGGGAATGGGATATAAAGGAAAAGGAAAAGGACATAATGGATAGGAAAAGGGACATAAGGGAAAGGGACATAAGGGAAAAGGAAAGGGACATAACGCAGAAGAAAATGACATAAGGGAAAGGGACATAAGAGAAAAGGAAAGGGATATTAATGGAGAAGAAAAGGGACATAAGGGAAAGGGACATAAAGGAAAAGGAAAAGGACATAATGGAGAAGAAAAGGGACATAATGGAAAGGGACATAAGGGAAAAGGAAATGGACATAATGGAGAAGAAAAAGGACATAAGGGAAAGGGACATAAGGGAAAAGGAAAGGGACATAATGGAGAAGAAACGGGACATAAGGGAAAGGGACATAAGGGAAAAGGAAAGTGACATAATGGAAGAAAAATGGACATAAAAAGGGACATAAGGGAAAAGGAAAGTGACATAATGGAGAAGAAAAGGGACATAAGGGAAAGGGACATAAGGGAAAAGGAAAGGGACATAATGGAGAAGAATAGGGACATAAGGGAAAGTGACATAAGGGAAAAGGAAAGGGACATAATGGAGAAGAAATAGGAAATAAGGGAAAGGGTCATAAGGGAAAAGGAAAGTGACATAATGTAAAAGAAAAGGGACTTAAGGGAAAGGGACATAAAGGAAAAGGATAAGGACATAATGGAGAAGAAAAGGGACATAAGGGAAAGGGACATAAAGGAAAAGGAAAGGGACATAATGGAGAAGAAAAGGGACATAAGGGAAAGGGACATAAGGAAAAAGGAAAGGGATATTAATGGAGAAGAAAAGGGACAGAATGGAAAGGGACATAAGGTAAAAGGATAGGGACATAATGGAGAAGAAAAAGGAGATAAAGGAAAGGGACAAAAGGGAAAAGGAAAGTGACATAATGGAGAATAAAGGGACATAAAGGAAAGGGACATAAAGGAAAAGGATAGGGACATAATGGAAAAGAAAAGGGACATGAGAGAAAGGGACATAATGGAAAAGAAAAGTGACATAATGGAGAAGAAAAGGGACACAAGGGAAAGCAACATAAGGGAAAAGGAAAGTGACATAATGGAGAAGAAAAGGAACATAAGTGAAAAGGGACATAATGGGAAGAAAGGAAATGGGACATAATGGAGGAAGGGACATAATAGAAGAAATAGGAAATAAGGGAAAGGGACATAAGGGAAATGGAAAGGGACACAACAGAGAAGAAAAGGGACATAAGGGAAAGGGACATAAGGAAAAAGGAAAGGGATATTAATGGAGAAGAAAAGGGACATAAGGGAAAGGGACATAAAGGAAAAGGAAAAGGACATAATGGAGAAGAAAAGGGAAATAAGGGAAAGGGACATATGGCAAAATGAAAGACATAACGGAGAAGAAAAGGGACATAAGGGAAAGGTGCATAAGAGAAAAGGAAGGGGATATAATGGAGAAGAAAAGGGACATAAGGGAAAGGGACATAAGGGAAAGGGGCATAAGGGAAAAGGATAGGGACATAACGCAGAAGAAAAGTGACATAAGGGAAAGGGACATCAGGGAAAAGGAAAGGGATATTAATGGAGAAGAAAAGGGACATAAGGGAATGGGATATAAAGGAAAAGGAAAAGGACATAATGGATAGGAAAAGGGACATAAGGGAAAGGGACATAAGGGAAAAGGATAGGGACATAATGGAGAAGAAAATGACATAAGGGAAAGGGACATAAGAGAAAAGGAAAGGGATATTAATGGAGAAGAAAAGTGACATAAAGAAAAGGAACATAATGGAGAAGAAAAGGGACATAATGGAGATGAAATGGGACATAAGGGAATGGGACATAAGGGAAAAAGGAAAGGGACATAAGGGAAAGGGACATAAGGGAAAAGGAAAGTGACATTATGGAAAAGAAAAGGGACATAAGGGAATGGGACATAATGGAAAAGGAAAGGGACATAATGGAGAATAAATGGGACATAAGGTTAAGGGACATAAGAGAAAAGGAAAGGGACATAATGGAGAAGAAAAGGAACATAAAAGAAAGGGACATAACGGAGAAGAAAAGGGACATAAAGGAAAGGGACATAAGGGAAAAGGAAAGGAACATAATGGAGAAGGAAAGGGACATAAGGTAAAGGGGCGTAACCGAGAAGAAAAGGGACATAAGGGAAAGGGACATAAGGGAAAAGGAAAGGAACAAAATAGAGATGAAAGGGGACATAAGGGAAAGGGATATAAGGAAAAAGGAAAGGGACATCATGGAGAAGAAAAGAGACATAAGGGAAAAGGAAATGAATATAACGGAGAGGAAAAGGTACATAAGGGAAAGGGACATAAGAGAAAAGGAAAGGGACATAATGGAGAAGAAAAGGAACATAAGGGAAAGGGACATAAAGGGAAAAGAAAAGGGACATAATGGAGAAGAAATGGGACATAAGGGAAAGTGACATAAGAGAAAAGGAAAGGGACATAATGGAGAAGAAAAGGGACATAAGGGAAAAGGACATAAGGGAAAAGGAAAGGGAAATAACGGGGAAGAATAGGGACATATGGGAAAAGGAAAGGGCCATAACGGAGACGAAAATGGACATAAGGGAAAGGGACATAAGAGAAAAGGAAAGGGACTTAATGGGGAAGAAAAGGGACATAAGTGAAAGGGACATAAAGGAAAAGGAATGGGACATAATGGAGAAGAAAAGGGACATAAGGGAAATTTGACATAATGGAAAAGGAAAGAGACATAATGGAGAAGAAAACGGGCATAAGGGAAAGGGACATAAGGGAAAAGGAAAGGGACATAATGGAGAAGAAATGGGACATAAGGGAAAGGGAGATAATGGAAAAGGAAAGGGACATAATGGAGAAGAAAAGCGACATAAGGGAAAGGGGCATAAGCGAAAAGGAAATGGACATAATTGAGAAGAAAAGGGACATAAGGGAAAGGGACATAATGGAGAAGAAAAGGGATATGTGAAAGGGACATAAGAGAAAAGGAAAGGGACATAATGGAGAAGAAATGGGACATAAGGGAAAGGGACATAAGGGAAAAGGAAAGGGACATAATGGAGAAGATAAGGGACATAAGGGAAAGGGACATAAGGGAAAGGGACATAAGGGAAAGGGACATAAGGGAAAAGGAAAGGGACATAAGGGAAAGGGACATAAGAGAAAAGGAAAGGGACATAATGGAGAAGAAAAGGGGCATAAAAGAAAGGGATATAAGAGAAAAGGTAAAAGGACATAATAGAAAAGAAAAGGGACATAAGGGAAAGGGACATAAGGGAAAAGAATAGTGACATAAGCAACGCGTTATGGTGAAAAAGAACAAAAATTAAAAAAATTAAAATAAAAAATGGAAATAAATTAAAATAAAAGCAAATTCAAAAGAAAGACTTTATCAAAACCAAGAATGAGAAAAAACGAAAAGAGAAAAAAAGGGAAAGGACATTTAAATGTAAATTATATAAATGGAAATTATTTTAATTTTAATTAAAACTCAAATTTTATGAATTAAAATTTAATTCCAAAAATTAAATGGTTAGAATTTACATTAATCTATCTATCTATCTATCTATCTATCTATCTATCTATCTATCTATCTATCTCTCATTCTTTCTCTCTCTCTTTATATATATATATATATATATATATATATATACACAAATTCGGTATACGTAAGGCTTAAAATGAATTTTTAGACATTTGTAAACAAAACTTAATTTTCAGTTTTAAAAATCTTACAAAAATAAAATGTAGATTTCCGAAAGGTTATTTGAGGAAAGTTAGTAAATTCAAAGTTAAGTTAATCACATTTGAAACAAATATTACTTACTTATTGCATATATGTTGTATACAAACATTTCATAACCTCGGGGTCTTGATTTTCTGGCGTGTTAATTGATTTATTGACGGCGGATTGACCGCCGAAAGTGTTCATTGTGTAGCAGGTTATCAATTTCAGGTTTTGTTTTTTATTTCATGGAATTTTTTTTCTTCAGACATATTGTCTTTAATATATATTATTCATAAAAGCAATTAAAAGGTTCTTTAATTAAATAACGTCTTAGGTTTATTGCCTTTTTTTTTTTTTTTTTTAATTTTCCGATTCAGAACAGATTTTCAGGAATTACCGGGGGCCGATATTGCAATAAAAAAAATCAAAAAAAAATCGAAGATTTAAATTCTTAACAATGTTTTGCTTTAACTAAAATAGTCACTACGAATTATTTCGATGAATTTCTAAAGCTTTCATAAAATTAAGTATGGGGGAGAAACGCACGTAAAAAAAAATGAAGATTTTCTAATAACAAACATTTCAAAAATAATTTCATTAATTTGTGCATAAGTCTCGAAAATCTGATAATTGTCTGATTTTTGCAATAGTTTCCAAATTAATGTGTCTGTCACAAAAAAAAAAAAAAAAAAAAAAGAGGCGAAAATTTGCTATGCTATGACGCAAGGGGGTCTACTGAGTGCTAGAGAATTTAAGAAAAAAACACTATTAAGGAGAGAGAAAAGAAAAAGAAAAAAATTTTTAGACGTAAGAAAAACAAATTTTGAATCAAAATTTCGAATGTTCTAAAAAGGAGTAAAAAATATTTAAAAAAATAATATTAAACCCTTTGCTCCTTCTTCTTAATAATGACATGATATTTTCGATAAAACTGTTTTCATTACGTTTGAAGAATGTTTTCTCTACGGTATGCTGATTTTTAGCGTTTTCGTGTAGGTACTTATATAGTGTAATTAAGCGCTATCTGTTCATTTAATCATATTTTATTGAAAAGTATAGTCATTTTATGTTTATCAAGTTTCAGAAGTTGCAACTTAAGTTGACGTCACTGAAGTGTTTACAATATCAGTTCCCTTATTACTATGTTTCTTGTAATAAAATCTTTTTATGAGAAAAAGATTTTCTTTTTTGTCTTTACTTTTGATATCAAATTGTTAAAATGGAAAAGTATCCGGATGAGCGTTGCATATCTCAGAAGTCATTTCAGAACCCAACTTAAACATAAGCTACTGATAAACTGTTTAGCCAATTAATTCCATTATCACCTCGTTTCTTGTGAAGGTTTTGGCTAATTAATTACACTGAGAATTATTTATTCTAGACTGCAGTCTTATTTGTTCAAGCCTTTCTGGCGAGGCACTCAGATACCTTTGACTACTAAGTGATCGTCTAACTTCAACATGGTCTTGAGATAAGCTTTGTCGATAGCTAATCATTTTATTTTTCGAATTGTCTCCCTTTCGCGTCACTTTTATATTAAATACAAAAAATTTAACATGAATAAAAAGCAATTTTTATATATATATATATATATATATATATATATATATATATATATATATATATATATATATATATATATATATATATATAAAGAGAGAGAGAGAGAGAGAGAGAGAGAAAAAAGAAATATATATATATATATATATATATATATATATATATATATATATATATGAAGCCGTCCGTTTTTCTATTAATTTTAGTTGGTGGTTGGTGATGAGATGAGTATGTTTTTAGGTTTAGTTGAGAATCATAGGTAGCATTGACCATCTAAAAAAAGTAAATCCAAATATTTATCAAGAAATTAAATATAACTACTATCTAGAATTATGTGCATAATTTTCCTGCTGGGAAAGTTCAATTTCAAATTAACGTAGATAAGTATTTTTTGCTTAAAAGGTTAAAAGAATTTTTTTCAATTCTGAGTATTATAAATTTTCTACTATCTAATAGCAAAAAATTCTTCTATTGCACTTTAACTGGTGGAATTCTCTTCAGCTCGCTTGCTTCCCAGCCAACTTCGATCTTCAATAATTTAAATGCAATGTCAGTCGTTATCTTCTGTCTTCTTAATTGTTCTTTTATTGTTCTCTCTCCTTAATAGTGTTTTTCTTAAATTCTCTAACAATCAGTAGCCCACTTGCGTCTTAGTCGCTTTATTGCCTTGCTATGGCTGAAATGATTTTTAAAAATACAAATTTGGCTGTGATTACATTCACTTATATAATCTAATCTGACACAGTACATCTATTTTGCAAAATTGATCCTATGAGACATGGTTTTACAAGGTGACCAAAAAAAAATGGGAAAACGGTCCCGTTACATATGAAATACTATTGTTATCTAAATTTCAGATAAAGTTAAATATCAAGAAAATCAAAAAAGAAAATTGCAGCAGTTGTTAACCTTTGCCTACAATTTTTTTTTAAGTTGGCTGTTTTTTTTTTTCTAAACGAAATTACTAAGGAAAATATGTTCCTCCAACATAGGAATGTATTTGAAACTTGATTCCATCTGTCCTTCTAATTATTTTGAAATGTGTGCAGAAATCTAACGCAAGCATTGAAGCACCACATCCAATATTTGTAGGACTGAGACGCACTCGTTCTACTGTGAACCAAGACACGCGACCAATCAATCAGTCAGACCATCGTTTCTCTCTTCGTCTATACTGTTCGTTCTTTTATCTTTGTTTCTTTGGACAGTGTCCACTTGACCAATAGCCTTCGTTGACCACCTCTACTTTCATTTCCAATAATCAAATATTATCATCAGTCTTTAATCATAAAATACGCCCCCCACTCCCGTATTTCACTCGCAATCTCTTTCTTTCTCACATGCAACAAAAAGCACGTATCCGAAATCAATAAAAAAACAAGCGTCGTCATATTGTTTTACATGATAACATGCGCTACTTTTCGCATACATAATGGCTAATACTACGCACCAATATGCATTGAAAAATCACAAAATTCATATTGAAAACATCATAAACAAAAAGTAATCCCGAAGATCATATTAGTATATATGTTAACCCTCTACCTTG